TAGTTTAGTCATCGCAGAAGAGCAGAAGCTTTCATGGAAGGTAAAAAGAGTGTAGATGTCTCTCTCTATGATTTGATAATGACTGTTATAGGATGAAGATGGCCTAGAAATCAAAATCATCAAGCCGATAAAGAAAGAAAAATGCACCATCGTTTCCCAAGAAGGTGATATTGTCGATCAGTACTACAAATTGTCCGACAAAGATGGAAAGGAAATTGGAAGCAACTTTGGCAAGAAGCCGTAAGTTTTCAAAAAATGTTGTGGAGATTTTGAAAAAGTAGTTTGTATTTTCAGATATACATTCACACTTGGAAAGGGACAAGTGATACCAGGAATGGATCGAGCTATGTTGGGCATGTGCATTGGCGAGAAACGAAAAGTCGTAATCCCAGGTCATCTAGGCTTTGGTAGCAGCGGAAGAGAAAGGTATAGTCGAGTTCACCGCACTGGTCAGCTCGCTTTTCGAATGAGGATTGAGATTTGAAAAGTTCAGATTTGGCTTTGCTTCGAACAAATTACAGAATCTTTCTTCAGAAAAAAAAGAACGCAATCTGTAGCTACTTCGTCGTACAGTTAGGATATAGCTAGGAAAATGTGTGCAAATATCTTGCGCCCAGAAATCGCGGAAATGATTCAAGCTGCCGTAAAAGCAAATCCGTTAATAGCGACTCATGTAGCTGAAAGCAAGCACTTAGAGCCTCATTTTTGTTCACATCAAGTTTGCTTGCTTCCAAATCCATTAGATGACTCCTAGCCTGTCTGAAAGCAGGATAGTCCTGTTAGAAACTCTAAATCAAGTTCAGAATACGAGAAGACCTGTGCAGTGAAAAAGTCTATGCACATATTATACGTATCTCTTCTTTATACCCATCCCTCATAAACTCGTTAGGAAATTCTCATATAGTTACGTTGAATGTAGCACATAGAACGAATCAATGCCGCGAATTTTCAGGGATAACATCGAAAAGGACCAGACACTCTATTACACTGTTCAGCTAGTCGACCTCTTCAGGGCTGTTCCTGGCGACAAGTGGGAGACAAAAGAGGGTATCACTATTGAGGTTTGTTGATTATATGAAAATGACTACACCTTGGAAAGTGGGCTAGTGTTCTGAAATGAACACAAGTTAGAGCACTTTAGTAAATGTGGTAAGAAATGGACGTCAAAGCAAAAGCAATATAATCCAAAAAACTTGCTTAAACCTAAGTTTAATTAGAAATTGATTCTTAACAGTGCTGTTGACATATGGGGTCATCCAAAAATATGCACAATAGTTCATCAGTCAAAATCATCTTCTCTTTTTCATTCCCTAGTGCTACAAATTAGAGGGAGATTTTGAGCTTAGATTTGCACAAAAAAACAAATCTTGTAAGTTAGTAAGGTTTTAGGTAGCTCTAGCGCTAGCACAAAGTGCTATTTAAAATCATGCGAAATTTTCTATGGATGGTTCAGAAGGTTTGCAATTGATAGATTTTGTAGCAAAGTTACGGCAAGCGTCTTGCAGCAGTGCAATCAACCGAACTTTACACCGTAATCTTACCGTAACTACCAAAGGTGCAAGATCGCTTTACAAGTAAGACTACAGTATATGACAAAGCGAAACGGGTAAACGTAGAAAGTTTGACGTTTAAAAAACCATAAATGAAGCAATGGACGCATCTTCCTAGGATACATACATGAACTAGAGGAAAGTTCTGACCCATAGCACCTAGTTTTATAAAAATCAAATATCTGCCTAGACATGATCTTCTCATCATTCTTATTTGAAGCTCTCTAGTTTACGTTCGATTTAAGAAATTTAAAATAAAAGCTTCCTACTTCTTTATTACCTTGTAAATTTTTTCAGGTCACTCACAAAATTGATGAGGAGAAATGCCGCAAGTCTGAGGCTGGAGACACCATTCACCAGCAGTACATTCTCCACCTTGAAGATGGCACCTTCGTTGATTCCTCATTCTCACGCA